TTTTTTATCTCAATCCTCCTTAAAACCGGGGTTCTTAAGCTTGAATGCAGAAAAGACTTAGTATTTTAGGGAGAAAAAATAAAAAATTAGGAAAAAGGGTCGAGCTAGTGAGGTGGGTAAAGCCAAGATAGGAGGTTGTTATTTAGAGTTGCTTGCTTAAGAGACAACCTAGAAGTATTGTATTCAATTCAACGTACCTCCGTTAATATATATTTTATTTTCTTCTTCTTTTAGTTATAGTTCAAGGGTTGACATAGCTTAATATGAGTTTAATCTAGATTGATATAAAGAAAAGGTTTTTACTTTAAAATTATCTTTCAATCTCACTTATTGATCTCAATATTTTTTTTAGGGTAGCACTCATCTTTGATAGAAATCTCACTTATTGATCTCATTTTTACTTAATCATCTACTACTCCACTTATACATATATAATTCAAGTTGTTATCCATCATACAAATGATGTTTAAACCTCAAAGTCATTTATTTTAATTATATTCAAACTCATTCAAACCTTGAGATTCACTTAAGACTTATTATAATTCAATCCTTATTTCTAGTCACTATATATATATGCTTATTATCATAACTTAATCTCATACTCAAGTCCATCAGCACACTTAAGCTTGTTATGCTAAAGGATTATACATTTTTGCTATAAAATATGCTTAGGATAGATTGATATTTATTCATACTCAATCAATATTTTATAGAATATTATATATAATGCCTTTGAAAAGCATATATTTCAATATTAAAAGTCAAAAATATGAGTATATTATTTATCATATTTATAAAACATAAACATTATAAATTATATTACTGAGTGAGATAACACATATATATTATTTATGCTTCGATTAGCATGCGATTGGATTCATTTGATGGTAGACTAGAGTGCAATCGAGAACAACTTCAAGTTTTCATCACTAATCTTGAATCATGATTGTATAACAGTACCCTTACTGCAACATCCAACCTCCCTTTATGATTATCAAATAGCTTTGATTAGGCATATTCAGTCTTAAATGGTGGACTAAGGCTAAATGATTTTGGGTTAGTGACCGTGATAAAAATGTCAAATATTTTTAATGCACCATCATCATAAAAATTTTATTAAAGCTATAATAGGTCCGGAAAAGGGTCTAATACATGATACTAATAATATTGTGGCCTTATTCTATCATAACTACATTGAACTTTGGAATACATCTCACTTTATTCCTTCACAAATACAAATGTCTATCCTACGTTGAATAACCTCTATTGTAAGCTCCTCACTTATCAAATCTTTTCACTCTATAATCCACTTTTTAGGTCTTAACCAAAGTTCGAGACATGACAATTTCACTTGTGAATTTTACGAGGCTTATTGGGACACTCTTGCACCTTCCTTTATTAACATTTTTAATTAGTTTCAACAGCATACTCATATCCCAACGAGTTAGACTAAAAATTTTCTCACCTTTAATCTAAAGGTTAAAAATTCCTATTGTCGTTATGCATTTTAGACCAATTGTTCTATCTAGTGTGAACTATATAATCCATGCTGAAGCTATTTCTAATCACTTAAAACCTATTTTATCTAATCTATTTTGTTTCAATCAATGCGTGTGTGTATATATATATATATGATGATGATATTCTTTTATGTTTTTTAGCTAATAGGAAATCTTGTTAAACTATTCAATCGATTTTTTAAACCTATGAGTTGCTCATTAATCAACATGCCAGTCTTTCTAAATCTAAAATTTATTGTCTCATATCCATACCCTAACATATTCGTGTTAACATTTGTTCTGGACTTCGTTTAAGTGAAATTTTCTTTTGAAAATTAATCCTAATACTAAAAGTATTCACCTTCTTAACTAGACTAGTGTGACCAATGCCAAAGATGTGGGGGTCTTTTAATTTAGGATCTTTCTCTATTTAAGTACACCCTACAAGCTTCTCGCATTCATCATTACCTCAACATTGATAATAGCTTATGATGCACAATTGTTCATGCACAATATGGTTCTTTCAATCCTTGATTTTAAACATTGGTAATAACTTGGTTTCTTCTTTATGTTAAGCATGTTAGTTGTGGTTGGTTCCTTTTTTTATGCAAATGTTAATTAAGCTTAGACTTAGTTTTATTAAACTGATTGGAAATGGTTTTCTAACTAGTCTTTTTAGTCAACCTTGACTAAAAAGACTTACCTATTTTGCCAAAACCTACTTTTGTGAATCTTGTACTCATCTCTAAGGAAGTTACTATTGATGCTCTTAGTCCATCTGGTAGTTGGGACTTGTAGTTGCAATCAAAAGGGTTTAAATAGAAATTGATTTATTGTATTAATTTCATAGTGATGATAGATGAGTTTGGAAAGCATACATCACATAGGGAAGGCTACTCTAAAGGGAGCTTACACTTTTCTTGAACAGCAAAACTATGCCTCAGATCCAAGTTGGTATAGCTGGTATGCCTTATGGAAACTTTTTATTGCCTCCAAAAATTCAACTTTTGTATTAGAAACTACTACACAACAAACTTCCTACTACAAATTGACTTCAAATACTTGATTTAAGGCCACAGTAACTTTGCCCCTTATGTCCAACTTTTTTTCCTGAAATCATAGTTCACTTTTTTTTTTTGAATACTCATTCAGTATCAAAATTTGGGATTGTTGGAAACATAACTTTCCTAACACATTCTATCTTAAAACTTCATAGGCCATGGGTGATTGGTTTTGAAGAACTTCTCCAAGCTGTCATTGCAAATCAATTTTGGTTTATAGATCCACCTACCTGAAGGAAATAGAGTGGGCAATTCAGTGTGGGTTAAATGGGACAAAACATCTCAGGGTTAGATGAAATTGAATATTTGACGGGTCCTTTTTACTGCAGGACGGAGGAATTGACTTCATGCTTCAAAATCATGAAGGATTATGTACATTTGCTGGCCAACAATATGTCCATAATAAATCAGCAATTTTATAAAGCTATGGTAATTGATATTGGTTTTCAAATAATCATTGATAAAGGCTTTTCAATGCTGTTTCATGATGTTTTACTAAAAATTTGGGCTCACCATGGAGCATTCTCACCACCATCAGCAGCATCAGCAACCTTCTATGTACAATGACTACTTACACAACTCTGTATTGTTACAAGCAGCTAACTAGGATACAAATAAGATTGGATCAGATAAGTCTACCTTTCAATGGATGGACTCTTTCTCATTTGATTTGTTATCCATTTTAAATAATGACCTAGCAAGGATATAACATTGAAATCTTAATAAATTTTGGAAAAATTTATATGTCACCTACAATTTCACAATAAAGATAGTTGTCAAATCCAATCAGTTTCTAAGCGAAGTGGAGAGACAATATTATCAAGTATTTTGTATCATTATTTTGGTGCTTTCTAAGTTCACACTTTTACAAGAAATAAATAACATTTAGATTGAATAGTATAAATCTCTTCCCGAAAATCATGAAAACAGACCGTATTTATGTTAGTTTATAAATAAACCAAGGATTGAAATTTAATATCGTATCGAAATTTCGAGCTTCGCTTGGTACGGTACAATATTGTATACCGAGCGGTACACCTAATTTAGACGTAAAATCCTTTGGAAATATATGAAAATAAAAAAAAATAAGATAAAATTTTTAAGTTACAAAATAAATATAGTAATAGTATAAGTTTAGCAAAACCAATGTAAATTAAGTAAGAATAATATCATATATCTTTTTCATACTATGAGGAATAGCATTATGTAAGGTTCGTATTTTGATTCGTTACGAATTACTCTTCTGTAAATATTAAAATATCTATAGAAAAATCATTTGAATTGTTAATTCACAAATCGTTACTGAGTTTAGGAGAGTGTAAACGTGAGAAAAAATAAGTTTGAGATAGTTTAAAAGAATATGAGAGTGAAATGGAGTGAAATAGAGGGGAATATGAGTTTAAAAACCCATGAGAAAGGGCTCCAACGATCATTTTGACTATTGAAGCACTGTAGATCAGTAACAATCGATTTCGATCATTACCGAGCTATGCCGAGCAGTAACAGTCGATATGCTGGGTGATAATGATTGAAATTTCAACTATTATCGTCCAATATACCCCTGTATCATTCGATACAGGATGATATTGAGCGTTTTGCCCGATAACAAATGGTTTGCGTATTGGCATGCTGTGAAACCGATACGTATCGTCCGACCAAACTGTATTATTCAAAATTAAAAATCCTAGAATAAACAACTTATAAGATTAAAGCAAACAAAGGACCAAATAATGATGATACATGTCATAGATGGATGGGTATGAAAGTAATTAAACCTAGTTTTCTTAAACCTGTTTTTTTAAACCTCAGTTACGTGTTGATTGCACGTAAAATTTTCCATTATTTATTGGGTCTTAGCTTCTCTTCCAAAATCCACTTGTACCCTAAAGGTTTGTTCTTAGAAGACAAATCAGTGAACATCTAAATGTTGTCAGCCAGACTAATTCAATTTCAGTATTTAGTGCCTCCTAGGCTCAAACAACATTCTTAAGATGAACTTGGTGATTTTTCTTTCAGAAATGTGACAAAAGCATCAAAGTTTCTTTTAGTTTGGGCTCTCTCCTTCTAAATTTAGGCTAACTAGTTAAATGTATAGAAGTAGTAAGAAAAAATGAAGATAGAAAACATAAATCCTAGATTTGATAATATATATCCAAAGATAGGGGCTTCTTTTTTTTTTTCAATCATGGTGTCATTAAAATTTTCACAAATCTTACAGCCTCAAACCACTACAGAAGAGTATGCTTATCACTCGTCTTGCTACATATATATTTTTTCAGATCAAGTATATATCGAAACAATACATTCAAACTCCTAAAGATCAATCACAAACACTAAGATTTTCTGTTTTGGGATTGATGTTGAAGGCAAAGGTATAATGATAGAAACATAGGACAACTGCAAACATGTAGGTAATCTCAATCAGAAAGACAATAAAATATAATGCAGCATAACACATCTTGTTAGGGGCTCATTAAGATGTATCTACTCTACAAACCTCTAACAACAATCAGTTTCACAGGGAAAACTAGATCAACCCACTGAGTTTGGCATTTGTGTTTGAATTGTACAAGGCAGGGAACTTTGCCTACTTTTTCCGATGCCGTGCAATATGTGGGTATGCATTACGTCATACATTGCCGGAAACAGCTCAGGTTGGTTTTGATGGTCGGTAATAAGCATCTCATTTATTTCATGGCAAGTGTATTCATTCACAAATTTTGTTGGCAGCTCCAATTGATGTTTTGATCAGTTCTGGTTTGCAAATACACCATGATGAACCACCATTTCTTTGTCAGTTTGTGATATCAGCATTTCCAGAACATATCAGTTGTAATTATCCACCAACTACAAGAACAAAGGCAATGATAGCATGATCACCAATTATACTATTAACCATCTAGAATCATATTGTGACAATGAAAACAGACTTGAAAGAAATTGAATCAGATAAGTGGGCTAGTTTCACTTGTCTACATCACAAGCCTACTTGTTTAAGGTTTATTACAAGTAACACTACCTCAAAGTTGCACTTCTTTAGTTCTAGGTGAAGAGGTGGTCTCCTATGCTATCACCTTGAGATTGAAGCCACTAAATTAAACTAACAGTATTGCAGGAAAATATTGAAAAATACAAAAGATATGTAAAGAAAGGTTTGTCGTGTGTATCAAGCCCTGGCCAGACAGGTACATATCAGTGTCAGTCAGCTCTGGTGTACACAGTCCCGATGAAATAGATGATGGTGGAGGAAGAGGAAGAAGGATGAAGAGGAACAAGGAAGAGGAGGAAGAGAAGAGGAGGAAAGAGGAAGAGGAAGTAACGAAGAAAGAAGAGGAGGAAATGTTCCCAAATTCAGGTGGTGGGAGGTAAATATGACTCGCAAGTGCATGTCGAGGAAGAGGGCTCCAAATGCGAGCCCTAGACCTATTAAATCATTTTTCTCTTTTCTTTATTAGTCAAATCGGACTACCTAAAATAGGGGCAATCCAACTATTATTTGGGTTCACAGTTATAGTTCCTTTTGGACCTATCCTTGTGGTCCAGTGAAAGGAATAGTGTATTGAACAAGATTTCCTCATGCCCATATTGGTAGGAAAAGGTTGTATGGATCCTTATCCCTCTCACTTTCCTACTTTAACACGATTATAGTAAGAATAAGACTCTCACAAGACCTCCACTATATGGTGTTGTGCTAGATACATGTTGGATATTAACTTGAGACTAGTGATTTAAAATGATGCCCAAGCGCTTGTGCAAGGCGAAGCCCAAGCGCCTCACACAAAAGCCAGGTGACATGCTTCAGTGAAGCACCATCTAGGCAAACCCAAGCGTCCGATTGAAGCAGAGCTATCGAACCAATTGGCCAACTCTGGTTCAATTGAACAGTACCTAGTTGGTCTGATTGAACCAACGAAACATTACAATAAACACCCCCCTCTCCCCAGAACCCCCCCCCCCCCCCCCCGAGCATTTTGGGAACTTGGCTCCTTTTAGCGTCTAATGCTTTTAAAAATACTACTTGAGACTAACACTTTAAAATATAACTTCCATAGGTACTGCACGGGTTACATAGTCTCATAGCAGAGATAGCTCCTTGTAACAATTCCATACCCCTAAAATCCAACTTGCTCCACAAATGGAGCTAGGAATTATGGGATTGGATAATAATTTTTAGTTTCTTTGTTGTTTATTTCATCTTCACATGATTTCATATATAACAATAAAAAACTTGATGCTTAAGTTAGATAAAGTCATCAACTCCTTATGTTGTTGCTTCGACAAAAAAAATCTAGGAACTTCATGTCATTGGAATGGCATGCAATTAACTGTTGCATTATAAGAGAGATCCATCTTGAATTTGTTGTCCACCATGCAAGTTTATATATCTTCAGTGCCTTTTCTTGTTGTCCTTGTTCATCATTATATATTGGAGCTCAACCCTAACTATGGATACGGTTCCCAGATCAAATAGCTGTTAGTTGTATAATCATATACTTGCTGTTCTAGGGTTGTCATGTCAAATTAAAGCTAAAATTTTCAACTTGCTACAACTTCTAAGGTATGATTTGGGGGCTATTGAAACCTTTAAAGTTGTCCTCAAAGAAGGAAGATGGTAGAGCCTTTGTTTGATACACTAGAATTTTTAGTTAGAGATTGTAAAGGTGGAGATGGCGATATTATTTAATACTCCAGCCCATTATCCAATGAAGACTGGAAATTTTCTCTAGAACTCTTGTATACTACTTTGTTCGAGCCCTTCTACATCCCTTTGATGGACTTGTAATTGCATAAGTTGAGAGAAGATGGCACTGTAGATAGTCCATGTAAAAAAATTTCTTTAATGCTCGTGGCTTTAGTAGAGGATTCATCAGCAGTAATTGTCACCATGGAATCTCATAGGAGCACCATTGCTGCAGATGTTGTCCAAAAAATTTGCTTGAAGATGATGTCACTATAAGGGTGAGCACCATTCATATTATGCTGCTTTCTCATTATTGTACCAAGACAAAGAAGCACCACAATATGATGGTTGTGGCAAATGTCTAGTCACAGTAATGGATAGGTCATGGCATTGTTGTGCAGTGGGGTTGTCAGAGGTAATGGGATCTAAAATGCACCAAGGCTCTAAAACACGTGAGGCACTAGGCACTCGCCCTCGCAAAGGCGCTCGTCAATATAAAAATTGTAAATAAGATGATTATGGAGAAAGAAAATATTTAACATAATAATTAGATTATACAAATTTTATATCATTTCATAATCAAAATATTATTTTTTCCAAGATAAAAACAGGTCTTCTATTTAAGAAATAAGGTTGTATTCCAATGCTTATAGCATCAGCACCCAAGAAAGAAGAGGGAGGATCAAGGCAATGAACCATCCACAAAAAAAAAGTTCAATGGGCATATTTTGCCAACCAATCAGCACATTGATTTCATAATCAAAATATCACCACTAGAACATTGAATTACATTCATTTAACCATCTATAAAGCATTAAAGTATTAAATTGTCCAAATATAATTACAAAAATAGCTAAACAAAATAAAATTAACATCAAAAGTCCAAGAATTTTGACAAAAATTCTAGCAATGAAAATTCAAAATCCTAACAGTTACAAATTCAATAATTAACTTATTTCATAAACTATTATCAACTAGACTTACATATTATTAATTATAATTAACATTACTATAAGTAACAACCCAATAAGAGGTGGGGGCTAAGAATAGGAAGAGATCAGCTGCATGTAGAGGAAGGCAAGGGCTGGGGTCTAACAACAACAGAGGATGTAGGTTGGATGGTAGATGGGGACTATCAGAGAGAGAAAGGAGCAGGAAGATGAAGGGGCATCGATGGGAGGGGAAGGCTAGTTAAGAGAAAGGGAAGTTGCTCAGGAAGACGATGAGGGAGAAAGAAGAAGAGGAGGGGAAGGGTACCATCAATCGTATGTGCTTTTGAGAGCCACCAAAAAAGAGAGGGAGAGAGGGGTTGAGGGAGAGGGGAGATGACTTTGTTAGGGAGAAGCGCTCTAGAGGGGTCAAGGGGAGAGAGAGAGAGAGAGACCAGATAGAGAAGGGGGGTCCGACTCTGTTTAGAAGAAGCAAAGAGCGAGGGAAGGGGTTGTACCATTGACTTTTGGCGCTATCAAGAGAGGAGGGGGGTCAAGGGGAGGGAGAGGCAAGAGAGAGGTATCATCATCGGGAGGTGGAGGGGCCAACACAGTAGGGAGCATGATGATTAGCACCATCAAAAGGTGGACAGGGACGAAAAGAGAGAGAGGGAGAAAGAGGCAAAGATACCTCCATTCATGAGACAAGAGGCACCATCGGCTTACAAACGTGCTCGGAAGACAGGATCTAGCTGCCTCACACAAACACAAAGACGGCGTTTAGATTGCTAGGTGAGGTGTGTGGTGTGAGAGGGGTTAGTAAGTTAGGTTATGTGCTTGATTGAACCGAATCAATAAATTTGGGTCCAGCTCAAGGTTAGTCAAACTGATTTGGGCCAAGTGAGTGATAGGGCCACCCATTGCCTCCTAAGCTATGCCTAGTTAAAGGCACCCACTCAAACCCTAATCGAGGCACTCAAGCCTCGCCTTGCCTCAACTTGTATAAGTGTCTAGGTGAGCGCATGAGAGCATATTGATTTTACTAGTGTAGATGATAAGAAAATACGAAGATTGTTAGCTAAGTCATAATAGATCAGAGTATCGCACTCTTTCTAATGGTCAGACTCTTTCTAATGCATGCTTCTGCAATTCGAGATAGAGAATAGACCTCCCATACTATAAACTAAGAAAATATATTGAACTAATATAACTGTAGAAGAATCCTAAAAGATATAGAATTAATTGCAAAGAGATGTCTTCACATCCTCTTTGGTCAGTCCACTAAGCCTCTTATTTATAATATTGCAGTAGTTAAATGCTAAGTAAAATATTGGGCACATAAATATGTTTCTAGAGGTTTCCATAAACTCATTGATAGAGACTATCCACAAGGTGTCATGCAGTCCATGTGGACAGCTATTTGGGCATTGTACAAGGTCTGATGACTCCTATTTTAGTAGGGGAAGGTCTTCTGGTTCATTATCTCTCTCCCTCACATTCCTGAATGCAATTTTGTTATGAACAAGACATTCACAAGCATTCTGATCTACTGTTTCTTGCCGGATTCCTGATAGAAATTGTTGAGACCATTTGTTGTAGGATTCTCTCATTGGTACATGTTGCACAAGGCTCATGGCCAGATTGGAACTCTGTAACAGGCTTATATTAAAGAATAAAGAAGTAAAGCTCAACATCAATAATAAAAGTTAGCTTGTAAAGTAGAAACAAAACCTAACTTTGAGGCTTTTCCATGTCCTGCTATACACATCAAAGGACCAAGTCCAAGCTTCTACAACAGATCTTTTATCATCAACAATATTCCTAGTAGTCCTAAATACCTATCAAGATTTAAGTGTTTGTCAGTAGATATCTGAAAAACTCACTACATTAGATGTTAGATCAAGATATTCTTCTGCTGTGATTGAACATAACCTTTTTAACCTTGAATGGGGCTTCAGTAGAGATAAAAATCTCAAAACCAACTAGTTGATAAAAAATGCAATTCAAACATATTTTGAACCAAAACTCTCAAGGGAGTCTGCTTCAAGACATTAACACAACCAGATATTGGGCACTAAGCAAAACTTGATATTCATATATAAGTCTTCATCCGCCAAAGGTAACAGAACAAAGAAAAACCTTGATTAACCTTTAAATGCTTTCTCATCCATTAAGCACTAGTTGTCTTGTTTCTTTTTCTTTCAAACCACAGCAACCAGGAAAATAAATCAGTTAATGCATGAGTGAACCTCTTTGAAGCTATTGTGGCAGCCAAAAAGGGATGGTTATAAGGCAAACTTCTTGATTTAAAGGTGAAGAACCAAATTTGTAAATTAAGTTATTTATCACTTTTAAAGCTATCAAACAAATGAGGCAAGATGTAGGGAAAGGAAAACCAGAAACTAGCAGTTGTTCCAGTCATCAGCCATGATAAAACTAAAGATGCAACAGAAATCGTTAAGAAACTACCAACTTGCTAGCATGCATCTCAGGTTTGGGAAAATAGAAAGGAAGTAAGCATGATTCGGGCTCTTACCATTAAGTTGTGTAGCCCTTCTCCTGCTTAAACTTTCTCTGGTTCCAATCTTTGACCCATCTCTGTGATGTTTTTCATGGTCCTGCAACTTTTAACTTCTTTGAGGCACCACTGGTCTGAACACCTCCGTCTTCAAAGGACTCAACAGATCTCTTGGGCACTGGAGTATGATGCTCCTTTCAATTGCCTCTTCCCATAGATTGGTTGCTTGCTATAACCTTCTGCATCTGCTGATCTTGGCTATTAGCAAGTCGTATGTAGGCTCATTGCCCTGTCCACAATACTTCTTCATCCGCTCAAACATCTGAAGGGCATGATCCACCCTATCCAGAGCGCATAGGAGTTCCACCAGACTCTGGTAGAAATGAACATTGGGCAGCAAACCTGCCTCAAGCATCTCATCCACAAGCGTATTACCTCTGACAAACCTTCCTGACAGGTACATAAGCCTGACTACGATGTGGTAGCTTGCCCAGTCGGGGTGGCATCCAGCTTCCCCCTGTCGCATTAAGTATAGGACTCGGTAAGCTTCCTTGATCCTTCTCACCCTAGAAAGGGAAGATAGTAGGATATTGAAGCTGACGGTTGTCGGGGGGACACCAGCGGTCCTCATCTCAGTCATCAGATTAGTGGCTTCTGGAATGATTGCAGAAGGGTTGAATTTGACGTTTCTCTTGCATATGCAGAGAAGCAAATCGTTGTATGATGATAGGCTGGGACAAAAACCAAGCGATTTCATCTGGTCCATGACTCGGCGGACCTCCCTGGCGTTCCCACGGATGCACCATCCGTGTAGGAGGCTCTGATAAATGATGCGAGTGGCCTCCCCACCTGCTGACAGCAGTTCGCGCCTGTGGCGCCAGACAACTCCCCGGGCCATGCCCGGGTTCCCTCTAGCGCAGAGGGCATGTACAACGATGAGGATGCCGGAACAAGCGCCGCCTACCACTCCGTCATTGCCATGGTGGTCCTGCAGTAGCCGCGCCCTCTCCAGGCTACCCAAGAGGCGAACGGCCTTCTCCTCTTCGCCAGCTTTCACGAGGGTGTCAGTGACGAGGGCAAATGTCTCCAGGGCCACGCTCCGGCCCTCCTTCTGTAGATCGCAGATGGCGATGCCCATGGCCGTAAGGTCCTTCATCTTGGCAAAGGCCCGGATGGCGCGGTTGACGACATCGTCCCCGTACCGTTCTTGAGGTCTCTGACGCTGCTGACACCAGGAGAAGAAGCGGAGCAACCTCCTGCTGCTGATGCTATTACCGACGCCGGATTGGCTACTGCAAGCGTCGATGACCTCGTTTATGAAGGCAGGGGTAGGCACGATGCTTGACCGGTCGAGAGCCGTTACCATGTCGTCGAGGCTGCCAACGCCCGAGGCGACGATGTGGAGGACCATCTGACGAAGGTTAGTGTCGACGGGTGGGGTTGAAGAGGAAAGGAACCGGTGCCATCGGCTCGTGAGCAGCCTCTGCATCGTCGCTAATATAGGGGGTAACTTACCACCTCCTGCACAAAAGCAGCAGAGATCATGGTAAGTCATCGTTCCAAGAGACGACCGGAGAAGAGCCAACATTAATTTGCCGTTGGCCACCGAACCATGGCCAGTTTGAAAGATGGCCTAATTGGGGCGGTCGCCCATTTTTGATGGCGCTGTTCAATCAAGAAGACGAAGAGGGCGAGTTTAGATAGAGCTAGGTTTTTTAAAGAAATCCCAAAAGATCGAAAACGTCATATGCCCAATGGTTATTATTCTTTTTCTTAAGTGGTGGAGACATAATTTGATATCATTCTTTTGCCCATTTTTCTGAACAATATCTCTTGAGTATTTTCCAAACGATACCATTTGATTATTCCCAAATAGTCATTTTTAATTTTTAAAATTTTAATAATTTTAATAATATTCCTCCAAAAGTTATATTTTTCTGTTCATTTTATGAGCGGATCAATCCATATGAATGGATTTATCGGTTTGATCCAATGAGAATGGCTTAGTAGAAAACGGGTCATTTACCTCTTCTCTTTTCTCTCTATTTATGAGTGTAATCTTTTTTTAAGGTACCTTTCGACTAGAGTGTTTAGATAAGTGGTATTTCATATAATTTATTTTTTTTAAGTGTTTCTCATTTATGTTATAATATTATGGGTTTTATTGAATCTAATATTTTGATGATAAAATTAATTGATCAAACTATGGGACTAATATATTTTTTATATAAGTGATATAGAAAAATACTTTGATCATATAATCAGACCATTAAAGGACCAACTATGAAGTAGGATATTATGTCAGAAATATTATCATGTCAAAAATTGGACATTGAGCTAGAGAATTTATCGTTGCGTTGGAGATTGAACCTTGTGCTAAATGTTTTGGCATCGTATTATAATGATCATCAGAAGATTCAATATCGTGAGAAAGTTAACATACCGGTAGAATATGCAATATACTAAAGGAAAGAGTAATGAATTGGAAGTTCGGATGATGTGTTGAAAGATCGGATGATATATCAAAAGAGCGTACAACCTACGAAAGCTTCGTAAATATGCCAAATGCATGGTTGATTTATTAAGGTCTTAATCGAGATCATTTTGGGTCAATTTAAGTTAGTATTGGATTAAAACAAAGCATACTTATCAAGAAAGACATTAGGCTTGAAATCAAGTCGAATTGGACCCATTAGAAAGCCAAATCGGTGGCCTAAGCTAGACCTAGGTAATGGTACCACTAAACCTAAGCAATAGTATAGCTTGAGTTAACTGACAAGTATTGTTTGTGCTTTGTCATATATTGCCTACGAGGACAATAGTAGTGCTACCAAAGTTTAGAATTACAATTGTGTTAAATGTTGTAGCGCCTATCTTAAAATTTTAGAGATTTAAATTTTTGGCTTCATTCTTGAAGCTTTTGAGACCTATAAATACTCCACTCAAGTTTGGCCAATGGAGTATCCATTTTTGAGCTAGTGAAGTATTGTAAGATGTCATTTTGAGCATAATTTAAGTCTCATCTTTCTCTTGAGTTAAGTTAAAATTTTAAGTTATAGGAGGTGAGAGTCTCCTAAGCTTGAAAAAAGAGAAAGTTATAATAAGGATAATTGATATTTGGAAAGAAGATATATAGAAGTCATATAAGTATGAATGTTATATTTGTCTTTTAGTTCGATTGAATGTAAAATGTTAACTTTATAATGCTACTTTTGTAGAGCTAATATATTGGAAATTATTTATATTTTGTCTTCTAGTGTGGTATCTTAGGAACCGAACCTTCACTTTGTGCAAATATTATAATCGTCATATTTTTTTCATAAAATAATATTTATATAATTCATCCAAGGCTAATATATTCTAATGATAGACATTTTACATTTTTGAGATGATGCTGTAATAACTGATTAAACCTCCTCTTTATATAAACATTATAACCATCGTATTTTTTTTTTATAAAATAATATTCATAAGACTTCTCTAGGACTAATATGTTAAGAATGAATGAAACTTTGCATGTTCAAGATAGTGCATGAAAAATCGATGAAACCTCCACTTTTTGTAAAGTTTATAATCATCATAGTTTTTTCAAGAAATGACATACATACAACTTCTCCAAAGCTAATATGGTGGGAATGAATGATATCATATTTTTTTAATATAGTGTATGAAAAATCGATCTAACCTCCACTTTGTATAATCTTTACGACGATCACTTATTTTTTTTCCTGAAACAATATTCATGTGACTTTTCAAGGGCTCATATGTTGGAAGTAAATAAAACTTTACATTTTCAAGATGGTGCACAAAGAATTAATCAAATCTCCACTTATGCCCATCATATTCGTGATATAACATTCATACGACTTCTCCAAGTCTAATATATTGAGAATTATGGACATTTTGAATTTTTTAGATATGCAAAGAATCGATCAAACTTCTAATTTGCATAAACTTTATTACTATCATATTTTTTCATGAAATGTTGCTCATACTACTTCTCTAGAGCCAACATATTAGGAATGATTGACATTTTACATTTTTAAGACGATGCACTAATAATCAATCAAAACTCTACTTTACGTAAAATTTACGATAGTCATATTTTTTTTGCTAACATTTTATATATTTGAGATAGTTCATGAAAAATCGATCGAACCTCCACTTTGCACAAACTTTTAGACCGTCACATTTTTGCATTTTCAAAATGGTGCACAAGAAATCAATTAAACCTAAACATTGCACAAACTTTATACCCTCCCATTTTTTCATGAAACAATATTCATAGGATATCTTTTGGGCTAATAAGTTAGAAATGGTCGACATTTTATGTTTTTGAGATAGTGCGCAAAAATTGATCAAACCTTCACTTTGCGTAAACTTTATATCCATACATTTTTTTCTTCAAATGACATTCATATGACTTCTCTCGGGCTAATATATTTGGAATGGTTGATATTTTATGTTTTCAAGATGGTGCACGAAAAATTGATCGAACCTCGATTTTGCGCAAACTTTAGGATCTCATATTTTTTGTGAAATGACATTTATAGGACATCTCCAAGGCTAATATGTTTGAAATGGTCAACATTTTATGTTTTTGAGATGATATGTAAAAAATCGATCGAACCTCCATTTTGCATAAACTTAATGACTGTCACATTTTCAAGCGAATGATATTCATACTTCTTCGAGGCTAAAATGTTGAGAATGGTTGACATTTTATATTTCAAAATGGTGAATAAAAATCCGAATAAAACCTATACTTTATTATCATTACTATTTCATGAAATGACATTCATATGATTTCTCTAGGGCTAAAATGTTGGAAATGAATGATATTTTATATTTTCTAGATGGTGCCTAATAAACCAATCAAACCTCCACTTTATATAAACTTTATTGGTGTCATATTTTTTCTCAAAACGATGTTCAACTGCTCAAGTGCTAATAATTTAGAAATGGTTGACATTTTAAGTTTTCTAGATGGTGCACAAAAATCCGATCAAATCTCCTCTTTGTGCAAACTTTATGACCATTGTGTTTTTTCACAAACGATGCTCATATAACTTCTCGAGGGCTATTATGTTTGGAATGGATGATATTTTACATTTTAGAGACGATGTATGAAAAAACATTTGAACCTCTACTTTGTATAAACTTTATAACCTTCGTGTCTTTTTGTGAATTGATATTTATTTGACTTCTCCAGGGCTAATATATTGGTAATGGTAAACATTTTACATTTTCAAGATGATGCGTGAAAAATTTATTGACCCTCCATTATGTGTAAACTTTATGACAATTATATTTTTTCATAAAATGACTTTCATACAGTTTCTCCTAGGCAAATATGTTGAGAATGGTCAACATTCTATGTTTTCTGGAGGGTGCATTAAACCTCAACTTTGTACAAACTTTAGGACCTTCACTGTGTTTTGTGAAACAATATTCATAGGACTTCTCCAATGCTATTAAGTGTGGAATGGGCGACATTTTACATTTTTGAGATGATGTGTAAAAAATCGATCAACCTCCACTTAGCATAAACTTTATAGCTGAGGAATGTTTTCATGAAACAAACAATATTCATATGACTTCTCCAGGTTTAATATGGTGGAAATGGTTGACATTTTGTGTTTTTGAGAGAGTGCACAAAAAACCAATCAAACCTCCACTTTATAACGGTCATGTTTTTTCACAAGATAATATTCATATGACATCTCATGGGCAAAATATATTAGGAATGGTCAACATTTTATATTTTCGAGATTGTGTATGAAAATTATATCAAACCTCCACTTTTGCACAAACTTTGTGACATCATGTTTTCTTGTAAAATGATAGTCATAAGACTTTTGCTCATCTAATATATTGGAAATGGCCTACAGTTTTTCTTTTAGTGATGGTTCACGAAGAATCCTCCGCTTTCTATAAATTTCATAAAATAAGATTCATACAACTTCTCTAAGGCTAATATATCCTAATAGTCGACATTTTATATTTTCAAGATAGTGCGTGAAAAATGAACCTCGTCTTTATGCAAATGTTATAACCATTACATTTTTTTATGAAACGGCATTCATAAGACTTCTCAAGGCCTAATATATTGCGATTCAATATAACATTGCACATTCAAGACAGTATGTGGAAAACCGATCGAACCACCACTTTATGATCATCACAATTTTTTTACGAAATGGTACTCATACAATTTCTCTAAGGCTAATATGGTGTGAATGGATGATATTGTGTGTTTTTAAGATGATGCGTAAAAAACCAATCTAATCTTCACTTTGTACAATCTTTATGACCATCATGCCTTTTCACAAAACAATATTTATACAATTGCTCCACCAGGGCTAATATGTTGAGAATGAATAAAACTTTATATTTTCAAGATAATACACAAAAAATTGATCAAACCTTCATTTTATACAAACGTTGACCATCATATTTTTTCATGAAACGATATTCATACGACTCTTCCAATGCTAATATGTTAGGAATTATTGATATTTTAAATTTTGAGATGTTGCACGAAGAATCGATTGAACCTCCACTTTGTACAAACTTTATGACCATTATATTTTTTTCATGAAAGACTTATACTACTTCTTCTCCAGGGCTAACATATTTGAAATAGTCAACATTTTATATTTTTTAGATGGTATATGAATAATCGACCAAAATACCACTTTGTGCAAACTTTATGATAGTCTTTTTGTTTGCAAAATGATGTTCACATGACTTATCTAAGGCTAATATGTTGGGAATGGTAGATATTTTACATATTTGAGATAATATATAAAAAAAGATTGAACCTCCATTTTGTGTAAACTTTTTTATCGTCATATATTTTTTAGTGAAATAATATTCATATAATTTTTTGAAGGCTAATATGTTGGAAATAGTTAATATTTTATATTTTTGAAATGATACACAAAAACTGATTAAACCTAAAATTTCAATAATTTTTAGACCCTCTTGTTTTTTCATGAAATGATGTTCATAGGACTTCTCTAGGGCTAATAAGTTTGGGATGATTGACATTTTGTATTTTTGAGACGGTGTGTGAAAAATGTTCGAACCTCCACCTTATACAAACTTTATATCCATCATATTTTTTTCTAAAATGATATTCATATAACTTCTCTTGGATTAATATGTTGGGAATGATCGGCATTTTATGATTTTAAAATGGTGCATGAAAAATCGATCAAACCTTCACTTTGCGCAAGCCGTCGTATTTTTTCATGAAACGACATTTATATGACTTCTCCATGCTAATATATTAGGAATGATCAATATTTTATGTTTCTGAGATGATGTATGAAAAACTAATTGAATCTCAACTTTGTACAAATTTTAAGACCCGTATATTTTTTGGTGAAATGACGTTCATAGGACATCTCAAGGCTAATAAGTTTAGAATGGTCGACATTTTATGTTTTCTAAATGGTGAATGAAAAATTGATCAAACCTCTTATTTGTGCAAATTTTATAACCATCATGTTTTTTCATGAAATGATGTTTATGCAACTTCTCTAGGGCTAATATGTTGGGAATTAATCAAATTTTACATTCTTAAGATGGTGTTCAAAAAATTGATCGAACCTGTCCTCCATGCAAACTTGCTTATCATCACATTTTCTCATGAAACGATGTTCACAATGTTTCTCCATGGCTAAATAATTGGGAATGAATGAAATTTTACGTTTTTAAGATAGTGCGTGAAAAATCGATTGAATTTTCACTTTATGAAAACTTTATGACTATCATATTTTTTTTTGTATGAAACAACATTCATGCTAATATGTTAGTAATGGATAATATTTTATATTTTTAAGATAGTGCACGAAAAATAGATCAAACCTTCACTTTGCATAAACTTTATGATCATCACATTTTTTCATGAAATGATATTCATACAACTTCTCCAAGACTAATATGTTGGAAATGGATAACATTTTATATTTTTATGATAAGGTGCAAAAAATAAATCATAACTCTACATTGCATAAACTTTATAACTATCATATTTTTTCATGAAACAATGTTTTTATGAGTTCTTTGGGTCTAATATGTTGGTAATAGATAATATATTTTCATGAAACAATGTTCATATGACTTCTCCAAAGCTAATATTTTGGAAATGGTTGATATTTTACATTTTCAAGATAGCACACTAAAAATCGATCAAATCTTCACTTTGCACAAAGTTTATGCTTATCATGTTTTTTTTCATAAAACGATGTTCGCATGACTTCTATAGGGCTAATATGCTTGGAATGGATGGCATTTTAAGTTTTCAAGACTATGCATGAAAAATTAATCTAACCTCTACTTTGTATAAGCTTTATACCATCATGTTTTTTTTTTTTTTTAACAAAATGACGTTTATATGTCTTAACCATAGCTAATATGTTAGGAATGATTGACATTTTGTATTTTCAAGATGATGTACGAAAAATCGATTGAATCTCCATTTTGCATAAACTTTATGATAACCATTTTTTTCTCAAAAAAAATTATGTTTTCAAGACAGGCCAAAAAAAATCGATCAAACCTCTATTTTACATAAATTTTATGCCCATCTCTCTTTTTTTTTAAAAAAATGACATTCATACAACTTCTGTAGGTCTAGTATATTGGGAATGGATGAAATTTATGCTTTCATGATATGTCATTCATATGACTTTTTCATACATTCATGACATTTTGTGTTTTCAATAAGGTGTGAAGAAAAACATATCAAACCTCCATTTTATACAAACTTTATTATCATCATGTTTTTTCATGAAACAACATTCATACGATTTCTTCATGACTCATGTTGGGAATGAATGACATTTCTCTTTTTAAGATGGTACGCGAAAAGCTGATCGAACGTAAAATTTATGATCATCGTATTTAAAAAGAAAACTATATTGTATGACCTTTTCAAGGTTAAATATGTTGGGAATGGATGAGATTTTGCATTTTCGAAGTCAATGCATTAAAAATCAATCGACATTTTGCATTGTTGGTGTATAAAATCATACACGAACAAAGCATGGGGAAGCCTTTCACATCCATTTCATTGCAAGGGTGACGATGATGATCAATTAATTCGAAGTCAACTCAGCATGGTCTTCAATTAATGTTGCCATATGCGCAATCAACTTAATTGTACTAGTCGTAGGACCTCATCATAACCATACGCATCTTATCTTGCTACTAAAAATATTTATTTGTGTGAAATAAAAAAAATAAAAGAAAATTTCATCACTAAGGATTGAAATAGTGAAGACTATACAAATCGGGTTTGGTCATCGACTTTAAAGATGTATGTTTTCAAGATAAATTAGTGTTTAATCGAATATATATTAATCCCTAAAACATGAATTGGTAATAAATAAATTTACTTTACCGTATGATATCTTATAGAAATATATATGTCTAGAAAAATTCAAGTTGCTGTTGACCCGACAAACATGGCATTCGAAGTGATCCAACTCAACAACCTCCTCTACTAAAGTATTTATGGGTCGAGACGTGTTGAACTTGACTTGTAGTCTCCACGCATCGATGGAGATGGTTGGAGCCATCCAATTCCTTCCATCGGTATTATTAATTTCTCGCAATTATTACAGTTCAAAGCGGCATACATCAATTTAGCCAACGTTGGCAAGAAATGTGACCTTTAGGAATATGATTATTTCATGGACCTTCGACAAGATTTATTTATTTATTTATTTAAGAGATTACAAATATAATAAATCGAATGCATGGATTAGTTAACCCCATAAACTTCATAATCCAAAGCTATCAAAGTTGGGCTAGAAAAATAGAACCAAAAATTTAGTAGTTCCATTACCAATTCTTGTACAGTGATTGTGAGCTTATTCAACAAAAAATAAAAATAATAATAATAAAAGAAAATGTTATCTTCATGGTGATATGAAAAATTGAATTCTAACTACACCTCATAATTTATTGTAGTCTTGTGTGACGGACAACCCTAAAATTGACCAAAATCTAAAGGAGATGCACCTACCACAATGAGATGCTGACGTTGATCTAACCACAATTCAACCGAGTTAAAGCCATGTTAGTATGGTTGGTTGATTGTCCTATCATTAATCATATTAAATGTATATATATATATATATATATTGTATCTCTTTAAATTCATTGCTCTTTTAACTTGTAAACATGTGAGTTAGACTAGTCAAACTTACGTAAAGATGAATTAGATTATAGTGTTCATATTTTTGGTTCCATTGTCTATAATTCGCCTCAGACAAGTGATATTTTGAGAAAGCTTGGTGCAGAGTGATTTCGTTTCAGAAGTATCTTTGTCCTATCTGACCCTATTTTTTGTGCCCACCAAAAGTTGCAGTAATATTCCTATAGCATAAAATATTATGGAAAAGAATGGAAGAGGGAGAGGGAGATCATTATTTATTCCGAGTAAGGTTCAGTTCAATCATTTCCCACAACAAAAATGCTAAGTTTAGGGGTTTTTGGTTCCTATTTTGTCCTCCTAAAATTCACCCAATTGATGGATGAGAGAGAGGAGAGGAGGTGTTGATGGTTTGTTTGAGTTGTTTTGGCAACTCCCCAACGGAGGAGGTTCTGTGTTATGGGTTGGAATTGTTTTTGTTTTTTGGCTCGTTTGGGTTCTTCCCCCACTCCCATAGTCCATAAAGATGTGGGGTCGTCACATGACACAGACATCCGTGTCACCAATCTTTCTCTCAGTGGATTGCAGATGCCATGTTATCACCGGCCCAGAGCAAACTTATAATACAATTTTCCAATCGATTGATTCCCTCCCTATCGGCGGCCTATCCACCTTGCTGTCTCTCTTCTGCTGTTGTTGTTGTTGCTTCTGCTGCTGCTGCTACTGCTGCTGAGGTTGTCCCTTCACCTTCACCTCGTCTTTCTTCGTCAACAGAAGGGAACCCAACGGAGGAAGGAAAGAAAACATTGGAGCAGCCCCGAAAAGATCGCAACTTTCCATGCTCTCGGACCTCTAAGAGGCAGCGGCTGGCATCTCCAATGGGAATCTCGTCGGAGGAAGCTCAGGATCGAAGGATGCAGGGGTGGCTGTACCTGGTCCGGTCTAATCGACTTGGGTTGCAGTACTCGAGGAAGAGGTACTTCGTTCTTGATGGCAACGCCCTCAATTGCTACAAGAACGTACCCGCGTCAAATAAAGAGGTATGTACGACCCCTTCTTGATGTCCCTTCACTTCGTTTCTTGGTGGTCTGGACGAAAGGTAGGTGCTTGACCCGCTGGCTTACTCTCTTTACGGCAAAAGATGACATCTTTTAGTTGTTTCATCGATCTTGTTGATCAGCAAGAGAGAAGCCAGGTTATTTCTTTGCTCTTCTTTTGTCTTTCAGAGATCCTTATAGATGTTTGGTTGTTTTGTTGGTTCGGTTTGATCCGACTACTGTCTTGAGCATAAATGGATCCAAATAATGAAGGATCTTCAACCGATTCATGTGTCTTGGGATTCTTCTAGTGATGAAGGGTGGTGGTAGATTTTTTTTTGTTGGACTGTGGGCGGTGACAATGCGTGGTGGGTATGATGGCGAAGGTGAATTCGGCGTCAAGGAAAGATGATAGGCGGTGGGCTACTACAGGAGGGGGCTAATAATGGCGGGCACTGGACGGTGATGACTTGTGATTGGTAGCTGTGATGAGTGTAATAAAGAAGACTTCGTTGGGGACAATCGCTAGACATAATCAGACAGGCAAAAGGGAAGCTGCCATATTACTACTTAGTTTTCATTTAAGTTACGTTTTTCATTGAAAACTAAAAGCAGATTTCCTATATGATTTTCTTTTCGTGTTCTTTTGGATTTTCCAGAATAGAAGGCTAAATGAAATAGGGCTTTATACTTTTTAGATGAGCATGATATTATAGACAGGCATGCAGTCTTAATGTTATTGTCGGTCATCTTATGTGAAATGACCCTTTCATTTTCTATTTCTTCATCTTGTTCCTCCTCGTGGACATTTGAGTGATTTACCATGAGACAAGTGGATAAATGATCGAACAGGACCAGGATGAGACAGTTCATTCATTATAACTTTTTTGAGCTTGCGAATCCCTAGTTGAGATCAATCATCAAACCACAGATTTTTAGTTTTTTTGTTCCTTTTTGTCCTTTGTTCTATTTATATAGTCATAAAATTATCCGCTTCTTAACTGATTTTGCAATGATATGTAACACCAGTCTGCTGAAGCTTTATCCACCTAGTTGCAAAGAGTTTTTCATTTTAATGATTTCACATTCCTATTACCAACCTGCAGGTGAATCATGTGTTAACAGATTGTCTTTAGTCAACAGGATTGTAAGCAACATGCATGACTTGTTCTTATTATAAGAATTTGTGACTGATCAGGACATACATTTGTGATATGCACAAATTATAGTACAACTCTGTGCATTGTTTCTGGATCTGATACTGGTCATCTTGCCATTTATCCAATCTAGAGTGAAATTTGAATACCTAGATATGTTTCTTACCCATGCAGGGCTCTGGCTTTGTAGGATCTAACCGAACCTTAATAGGCTGATTAGGTATGACTAGGACTCACATCTGATCAAAATATTGGACCCTAGAGTATGGTAACTTCTCTTCTTATTATTCAATAAACTGGCTGAACCTGTGCAACAATGTTGCAAATCATGATGCGTGTTTTCTTGTTCAATCATTTCTTGGCAACTTATTGTGATGCTGTTTGTATCTGCTGATAATATTTTTGAGTTTTGCAGAATGTTATTTTTTTTCTTTTTAATTTGTTACGCATAAATACTCCAAATCATATCTTGAATTTTCTGTGTTATCAGGAACCTATTAGAAGTGCAGTGATTGACTTCTGCATACGCGTCACAGATAATGGGAGAGAGAATATGCTTAGAAATGTACAACATAAACCTGACTTATATTACTAACTCAAAATTAATTAATCCCGTCAATATAGTTACATGATAATTTCCACTATCGCAAAGTTCATCACCCAGTTATAGATTTGCATGGTAATTTGCAGGTCATGTATGTATTTACGCTGTGCAGTGCCTCTAATCACAAAGATCAACTTAAGGTGTGTTGGAATTTCACTTACTTTTCTAGCATTTTCTATTAGTAGTTTTTTTTTGTTGCTTTTTTCATGGATATGAAGAATGGCCAAACCTTGCAGTTGGGTGCCAGAAGCTCGGAAGAAGCTGCAAGATGGATCAGATCTATAATGGAAGCAGCATTAAAGGTTTCGATGCTTTCTTTTACCTCATTCATATTCCTTGACAATTATATATAACATCTTTCCACACTTGTAGGAGGACCCAAACAAAGAAGAAAATGTTGTAGCTTGTTCAAAGAGAAGATGCCAATCATTTAGGTTTAACGTCAGCCCTTATTAACCAGTAATTGATTTTATATGTTTGTAGCTTCTATGGATTGACTGTAACGCAATTTTTTGCTTGTGTATGGAATAGGCATGCATTAGCTTGCAAAGGATTGGTTCCTGTAACTAACATTTTCATGTTTTTCATTGATTGCTCAATTTTCTTCCTTAAATTTATCCGTGTTCTGACTACTCTTCTGGTATGAAAAAGGGCCTTAAAAATTGATCATTCTAGATTCTAATATGGGCAACTACATTTGTGTTTTATGTAATTAGAGAATTTCCATTCAGCATGGAACAACTGCTATGGCTTTAAAAAGATGGTCTTTGCGGCTTTTGATGGTCTCTACTACTCGTCATTGCCTTGATGAGACATTGGTTGAGTTATTTTCTTCTTTATTCCATGGAGAATCCACAGGGCAGAAATTTGTATGTTGTTATTGTACATAGACTACATACCAAAGCCCTTTAACAGAGAATGGAAGAAATTTTTCATGGGGGTGGACAATGTCAACTTGCCAATTATTTGACACTTGTTCTTGATAATGTTATTACTTTTTGTGCATTTAGTTCATGTATGGATCCCTGATCTGTCTATTGATTGCTTTAAGAATATCTGTCTAGTGATTTCTTTAGATTATGGACTTAATGAAGTCATTTTACCTTTTTCTTCTGAAAATTTATTTTTTTATCAATATTATGATTTTATAGGCTGCGTCATGCAAATGGGAGAGGCAGGAAGCACCCTTTAGGTCAGTGTATATGTTCTTTTAACCTCTTTTAGTTTAGCTCTAGTTTCTCCAACAAAAATGTTTGATCATACAAAATGTCAAATTCCTTTGACAAAATTCTAGCATCCTACCAAGTATTGCTATCATGGACCACATCATGTTTCAATTGTTGTTTTCTAGTGACCATATGTCAGCATGGTCCGAGATTTTGGCACACTGACTAGGACAACTCTGAAGTAGGAGGAAAGCTATACATATTATAACATCACATATTTTCTTATTCTTGTTCTTCCAAAGACCCAGCAGATCCATTACTAATAACTATTGGAACCAATTTGGCACATTTAAGCAAAAATTTATTTGACCAAAATATTGAGTTTGTTACAAAATTTCTAAAAAATCTTATTGTGTTTACTGGCTCTTCCATTTTGCTTACCTTCCACTAAATTATTTTCCTACAAATTGCTCTTAGATTGGACTGTGTTCACATCTGTTCTTGCGGATCCTACAACAGCTGATGTAATTGCACCTTCCACATGGACAATAGTTGGCTGCAAAAATGGTAATCATTTATCTTTTTCTTTTACCAAAGGTTCATTTCTAACTGCAGCTTTTATGCATAGGCTTACGGCTGTTTAAGGAGACAAGAGATGCTGATTCTCATGGAATGGTACCTATTTTGGCAAACAATAATGATTTATCAAGTTTTTGGGATGCTAATGGGGATTATCTTATCAGCATTGGGATGATCATCCAGCTTTAATGGCAGTAGGTGTTATTGATGCAACCTCTGAGGCTGTTTTCCGGAGAGTTATGTCTCTTGGTCCATCAAGATCAGAGTAAAGATCCCTACTTTTTGTCACCTGCATGTTCTATCAGTTTGAGAAAATATTGATAATCTCCTCACTGAGAAGTCACTTTACCAAAATTTTAGATATTGTTGTCATGATGTGATTGCAACCTATTTTATCAGAGCATGATGTCCGACATTTTTAACAGATAAGAGATCTAGATTATGTAATGTTATGAGTAGCATATACTGAAATCTTGTAGTCTTGTACCATATTTCTGAACAAGAGAAACACGGCATCAGCCATAAAGGAAATGAAATGAGAAGTCATATTACGTCCTTGAGTTTGGCAATTTCTATTTCTAGAAAATAAGAATTTTGTTTTACTCTATTCAGGAAGTAAACTATGAAGTTTTCTTGCAGATGGGATTTTTGCTTACTAGAAGGTAATGTTGTTGAACACTTGGATGGTCACACTGATATCATTCACAAAAAATTGCGTAGTGATTGGTTGCCATGGTCAGATTCAAAGCTCTTAGATTACTGAAATTTCATCTATTTCTACTTATTCAATAATCACTCACATTATAGTGTTAGTTTGCAGGGGAATGAAAAAAAGGGATTTATTACTACGGCGCTATTGGAGAAGGGAAGATGATGGAACATATGGTAATGGCATTCGTGAATGATTGGTAATTCTTAAGTTACAGAAATATAACATCATATATATTTTGACTTTGTGACAGTAATACTCTATCATTCTTTTTCCCACCAAAAATGTCAACCTGAGAGAGGCTATGTTCGTGCCTGCCTTAAAAGTAATGTATGCTTAAAACTCAGGCTGTCATGTTTGTTTGTTCGTGTATTCATGTTTTGTCCTATCTTATCGAACCCCAAGTGTTGGTACTCTATGTTCTTTTGTAGGTGGAGGATATGTAATATCTCCAGTGAACCAAGGAAAACAATCAGTTGTAAAGCACATGCTTGCAATTGATTGGAAATTTTGGAAGTCTTATTTGTTCACCTCATCCGCAGAGTATATTACAATCCGAATGTTAGGGAGAGTTGCGGGTATAATCTAGAACATGAATTTTATTTTTTATTCATGTCTCACCTTTTATTAGAACAATCTAGTGAGTATATGTTGACAGAATGATTAACTATGTAATTTGCAGCTCTCCGAGAATTCTTCCGTGCAAAAGTTGGTAGCTGTGCTTGCTCTGATTTTTCATCAGGTGAGTCAACAAGGGAGATAGGGTTGCCACAGAATGAGAGGGAACACATGAAACTAGAGCAGCCAGCAGAGGAAATTAGTAAAAGTGAGGATTCTGCAGATGAGACACAAAGATCGCCGGCCAAAAATGCAAAAGCAGGTGGATCATTCCTTCAACTGAATGATGCAGCTGATGAGTTTTTTGATGTTATCAATGAATCAGAGTATAATGAAGTGGAAGCTTTGTGGCCTTCTGATGATGGCTTGCAAACCCAGGTGTGTGCTTCTTGTGAAAATTTCCAATCATGAAACCTTGTTTCTGCTAACTGTTTTTCAGCTTGGAAGAAGATATATTCAGTACATTGTACTTTTCTTTTTCTTTATTCATTACACAACATCAAGCTGACTTTTAGATACCTGGGCAACAACTTCTTTATATGGTGTGTTGTGGTATATCATTACGTAGTATGATCTGCTAATATCCTAGCCTGTACAAAATGATTGAAGAACCTTTGGTGACAATTACAATAATGCCAATCAAGGTTCGCAATTTTGTTCTGTGCTAGCGTACCGAGCCTTGCTCGGTATGGTACTTACTGAGGCGTACCGAACGATATGCCTAAAATAGGCATAAAACCCTTCGAAAATATCTGAAAATAGAAAAAAAAATGTTAGGATAGGGTTTCTAAGTTAGAAATAAATATACATTTAGTATAGTTTTAGCAAAATTAATGTAAATTAAGTAAGAATAGTGCTACATATCTTTTTCGGGTTTTGAGGAATAGCCTTGTGCAAGGTTCATAATTTCGGTCCGTTAGGGATCGTCCTTCTGTTAATATTGAATTATCTATAAAAATTATTTGAATTGTTAGATTATTTTGTATAGAACTTAAACTTAAGATTCAAATGAATTAAGTAATCATTTGTGTAGATATATATCTGATTCTACCACCAAAACAAACGATGGGCCTCCACGGGTGGTGGATCAAGGTCTTTGATCTTATGTATCTGTATATCAATATGATATGTTTGTTGACCCAATCTTAAAATTGATCACACGACATAGTGTATTGATACACCGTATGCCATTGGTACATCAATGTGGTGATGGTCGTAGGTTGTGTGTAGGAAACTCTAGGGGCGACAACATGCGCAGCGAAAAAATATAAAACAAAAATATCAAATTTCCTAAAAGGTGTTCATCGTCGTACGAAGATTGGTGTGCAAAAACCCACAAAACTAAAAAACACGTGTGAGATAGTTATGTTACCTAGAGAGATCGTATATCCCTGAATTCCTGCAGATCTGTGGGAGAGGATAAAAGAGGTTAAGTGTCCTCTTTAGCGATGATTCATATGGCAGGAGTTGCGAAGACGCTCCTCAAATCGCTGCCCAAATCTCCATACCTACTATCTGAGGAGAAGGGGAGAGGAGAATATGTGGCAGCCAAAAAGGTATAGCCTATGACTCTTTAGTTCTCTCCTATTTATAGAGGTCCTCTATCAATGTAACTCTAATGGATCCTACCCTATTGGGTACTGGATCTCCATCCAACTATCCAAGCCTCTTAGATTAGTGGATCTCTATCCAATAATCTCTCAATGGTTCTTATTAGATCCCATCCATAGGATTCAATAATTTAGGGATTTATTGGATATCCAATAAGATAGGGGCTCCGATGGATATCTCATATCCGAACATCTACTCGTCGCAACACCTACCATATATGTGTGACCCTTTAGGCCCAATTTCGAGTTGGTCGTGAGTCATACTTGTCAAAACTCCTTCTGGCTTAGTGAATTATTATCTTCATAATAATTCCCTCGACTCATCCACTACGAATATACTAAGCCACTACGCCGCAATCCCCAGACGATATAGGAGAATATAATCCTTTGGACCTATCTGTCCTCAGTTATCGTGCACCTATAGTCCCTCATCCATTTAATATCATAGAGATCGTACACCGGGCATGGTGCTATTAGGTTCATACTATTTCTCCTCGAGTCTCGCACTAATCGGATTCTCCCGAAGAACTCTTTCTTTCTCAATCCAAATGACCTTGGCTAAGGATTTATTTAAGTAAGAACATATGAGATATTCCTCTTATGATACCGAGAGCGGATGATTCTCTATCGACACTTAATGACCCTCGTAAGGTTGGCTGTCACTCCCGATAACCTGCTGTACTAGATCTGGAACTTCAAAACCTATAAGTTCGGTATCAAAGAGTGGAGTACTCGTACAAGACATCCTTGGTGTTTCAAGTCTAAAGACCAGGTTCACCATTGGGATAATGAAATTGCTGTCTGACAATGAGGTACCATCAACCATCTAGTATTTCGTGAGTGGATCAATCAGTGAACTCATTTTCCAATGAGCACCTATACTGTAGCCCTAGTGTCCCTACACAAACAGCTATGAGACCAGTCGCCTCCATCATATTGATGGGTATGCAGTATACCAGTCTGTCCGGTTATCTCGATGTCCCTCTCGAGTATCCTATTACTAGGATTATTTAGGGTCTGTGTTTAAAGGTGAATCAGCCTCATTATCGTGATCTCATCACGATTCGATTTTCATTGCACAGATCCATGGACATTATAATATATTTATGCATCAAGCAATATAGAGTGAGAAAAGATCATAATAATAATAAGCAAAAAGACTGTATGTCATGTCACACGTGATATTACTCATGTGATTGGCTTGCAAGGCACTTATGACTAGCAATCTCCCACTTGACCTAAAACCAATCACCTATGTATTGGATCCTCATCAGACGCCTATGATGCTCAAAGACAATATGAGACAACGGCTTTGTTAGTGGGTTTGCGATGTTATCTTCGGATGGAACTCTTTCCACTACTATATCTCCTTGGGCCACAATCTCTCTAATAAGTTAGAACATTCTCAGAACACTTTTGATGAGACTCGAGTTTCCTTATTTGAGTAATCGCCCCATAGTTGTCGCAATACAAGGGAATCAGCTCCTCGTTGCTCGGCACGACTCCCAGATCTGTGATGAACTTCTTCATTCAGACTTCCTCCTTTGCTGCCTCTCCCGTAGTAATATACTCCGCCTCTATGGTCGAGTTTGCAATAGTATCTACTCCTCCATTCAGGGTGAATGCATACCCTGAATTATACTTACTATCATTGACATCGGACTGGAAGCTCGAGTTTGTGTAGCCCTCAACTCTGAGGCTACTTCCTCCATATACTAGTAAAAGATCCTTAGTCCTTCTCAAATACTTAAGGATATACTTTATTGCTTTCTAGTGCTCCAAGCCTGGATTTACTTGATACTTACTCGTGACATTTAGAGCATACGCTATATCAGGCTTGTTATATAGCATAGCATACATGATAGATCCTATCGCTGAGGCATAGGGTATGCTATCTATGTCTGCTTTTTCTTTATGAGTTTTTGGGGACATACTCCAAGAAAGTGATATCCCTTGTCTCATTGGTATGAGACATCTCTTGGAATTTTCAATGCAAAACCTTTTGATAATGATGCCTATGTACCTGGATTAGGACAAGCCAAGCATTCTCTTGGATCTATCTCTATAGATCCCAGGGTTCTCAATTTTGATATATACAGCCTGGTATAGGTGGTACGTACCGGTCCGAGAGGATACGGTATGCAGATCGTCCTCTATTGGGCAGTACTAGTGTTTTGACCAGTACCAAGGCGTATCAACCGGTACCGCCCCGGATTTCGACTGTTATCGAGGCATACTGATCAGTACGCCCTAGCGTGGTAGGTGAAGGTATTTTTAAGGTTTTAGGATATACTATCGGTACGCTCTAGCATACCGACGATATATACCAGTATGTACCGTACCAAGTAGAGCTCGGTACATTGATATAGACTGATATTCAAAACTGATAGATCCGAATTCCCAATATGTATGATACTTCCCCTAAGTCCTTCATGGAGAAGTGTCTAGATAGCTAAGCCTTTACTGTGGAGAGCATTCTTATATCATTCCCAATGATTAAGATGTCATCCACATATAACACAAAGAAGGTTATAGCACTCCCACTTATCTTCATGTACACACAAGGCTCATATTCGTTCTTAACGAAGTCATAAGATTTGATTGCCTCATCTAATTCGGGAAGCTTATTTCAGTCCATAGATGGACCTAAGCAACCTGCACATCTTATCTGGACTTTCTTTGGACACGAATTCCTCAGGCTATATCATATACACCTCCTGCTCGAGGTTGTCGTTGAGGAACATGACTTTCACATCCATTTGCTAGATCTCATAATCATAGTGTACTACAATAGCTAATAGAATTTAGATGGATTTTAGCATGGCTATGGGTAAGAAGGTTTTGTCATAGTCAACACCTTGCCTTTGACGATACCCCTTGGCCACTAGCCTTGCTTTATAGGTCTCTACCTTTCCATATACTCCGATCTTTTTCTTGAAGATCCATTTGCAACTAATGGGTACAATACCCTCGGGTGCATCAACAAAGTTCTAAACCTTATTGGAGTACATAAAATCCATCTTAGAATTTATGGCCTCTTGCCACTTCCCGGAGTCTATACTCGTAATAGCCTCCTCGTAGGTCTGAGGATCAATATCCTCAATATCCTCTCCTCTAATATGTCCCACATATCTCTCAGGAGGATGAGATACTCAACCGGACTTACATAAAATCGAAACTTGTGTGCCGGGTACCTGAACAGACTCGGGCTGTGGAATGGTGCTTGAGCTAGGTTCTCCAACCTCGCTCAACTCTATCACACTCTCATTGTCTCCACCAAGAATAAGTTCATTCTTAAGGAACACTGCTCTCTTGGTTACAAAGACCTTTTGGTCCTCTGAGTGATAGAAATAATATCCACAAGTTTCCTTGGGGTATTCCATGAACTTGCACCGCTCCATCTTGGATTCCAACTTTACGGGATTGTGTCTCTTAACATGAGTAGGGTAGCCCCAAATCTTAAAAACCTTAAGATCGAGCTTCTTCCCTTTCCATATCTCATCTGGAGTAGACACTACCGACTTAGTTGGAATTCTGTTCAGAAGGTAAGCTACGGTCTTTAGGGCATATTCCCAAAGTGAGATGGTTAGGTCGGCGACACTCATCATGGACCGCACCATGTCTAATTGTATGCGATTCCTCCTCTCAGATATACCATTGAGTTGAGGTATATAAAGAGGTGTCAATTGGGACAGAATCTCATGGTCCTTGAGAAACAGGGTGAACTCTGTATTTAAGTACTCACGTCATTCTAATTGAAGAGTCTTG